TGCACGTGCGCGGGGAATGGCTGGCCGTGCCCTGCAGGGACGCGCAGCTCACCGTGGGCTGGCTGGGTCGCGAGGCCGTGCGCCGCTATGTCAAGAACAAGCCCGACAACGGCGGCTTCGCCTCGGTGGACGACGTGCGCTTCCTCGTGCGCCGGTGCAAGGGCCTGGGCCTGCTGGACAACGACGACCCGCTGGAGGTGGCCCTGGAGGACAATGAGTTCGTGGAAGTGGGTGAGTGGCCGCGGGGGGGGGGGGGCTTGGCTCTCTTGGTCCGCCTGCCTGGGAGGGAGGCACCGTCGTGTCACCCTTTGGAGAGCCAGTCTCAGTGTCAGTGCAGACGCCTGCCAAGCCTCGGGGCAGCTCAACTTCTCACACAGCCGAGAGATGGGTCGGAGGGGACTTCCCCCGAGTCAGGCAGCTAGTAAGGAGCGCACGCTGGACTTGAACCCAAGGCTGCAGGACTGCATCCCTGTGCAGCTACTGAATCACCGTGAAGGTCCTTTTGCCCTTCAAAGAACCTCCTCCGACTGGGGCCAGAGGTCCAGAGGCATAAGGAGCTCAGATGTCAAAGAACGTAGAGCTGGGCTTAGGGGTGGAGGTGGGAGTCCGATCTGACACTCTCATTTAAGCCCCTGGGCAGAGTGGTATGCCCTTGAGTATATACACCACGTTTTCTCATCCAGTCGTCTGTCAGTGGACATTTAGGTTGATTCCAGCTCTTGGCCATTGTAAATAGAGCTACAATAAACGTGGGAGTGCAGGTGTCCCTTCGACCTGGTGATTTCCATTCCTTTGGGTATATACCCAGCAATGGGACTGCTGGGTCGTATGGCAGTTCTATCTGTAGTTGTTTGAGGAACTTCCATACTGTTTTCCATAATGGCTGGACTAATTTACAGTCCCACCAACAGTGTAGGAGGGTTCCCCTTCCTCCACACCCTTGCCAGCATTTGTTATCCTCTGTCTTTTTGATAATACATAAATATATATATAATCAATTTTTTAAAGATTTCAAAAAAATAAACTCTGTGTCTCTGCCCTGACACCTACCTTTCTGCCTCTTCCTCTCCCTCTACATAAAGAGGCTAAGACCACATAAATGCCATCGAAGTCACTTTAAAGCAGCCATTTCCATAGAATTCAAGGGTGGCAAACCCTTTCTTGGTTTAACAGCAGTGGCAAATGTGACTGTATGTTGTGACCTGTAGGAAGTCTCTCTTGCATTCTTGTTTCAGTTATAGAAGGCGATGCAATGTCCCCCGACTTCATTCCATCTCAACCAGAAGGAGTTTACCTGTATCCTTCCCTGTGGGCTCTTGGTCTGCTCTGGGGGCTGTTGCTGCCAGCGGTGGGGCTGGGATTTTTCCACACTACCCAATATTTTCCTTTACCTGCCTTCAGATACAGCAAATACCGGGAGCCTGAAAAGGTAGGCTTTAATCTACTTTCCTTTTGTTAAGAAAACTAAGTCCTTCTCAAAATTTCTGAGTCAACCCTATCAATTAGCACAGGGCTTTCTCCAGCTCTGTGGAGCAGGGGGAGGAGGCTTGGAAAGGCATGGTGCTTTCGCTTTTTACTGTGCTTACTCAGCCTCCTCCTAAGCAAGCTTTTTCATTAGCACATTCATGTCTCACATAGGTGATGAAATCTCTAAAGTATCAAAGTTGGGTTTTGCTGGAGGCTCCCTAACTCTCTTTGTTAGATCAGTTAAGCTGTTCAAACTCACTGAGATTCCCATCTTTTGTGCAGTACATCGCTTTAGACGGGGACAGTCTGACCACAGAGGATCTGGTCAACCTGGGAAAGGGACACTACAAAATAAAGGTAGGGGAGGGCCAGGACATCCTCTGGCCATTTTTGGTGCACATGAAAGTCTTTCACAAGCTCACTTCTGACCATCCTTTTCCTAGCTCACCTCAACTGCTGAGAAGAAGGTACAAAAATCCAGGGAAGTCATAGATAGTATCGTGAGAGAAAAAACAGGTCTCTTTTTCTCTTTATGCTATAAAATTCCTTATACAGACTTAAAGAAAAAAATCCTGCATCTAATCGTATAATGTCTGCTTTTTTATTCTAGTTGTTTACGGCATTACTACAGGTTTTGGGAAATTTGCCAGGACTGTAATTCCTATAAATAAGCTACAGTAAGTTTGAAACACACATACATTCACGTTCCACCTACCCCCATCTTTGAGATTTTTTTTTTTCCAACAAGTGAAATAATTAACATTTGCCCCAATTAACAGATGAGCAGGATGAGGCTTGGGTTAACTTGCATGTAAGCTGGTTACAGCTTGAAAACACAGGCTGGCTGGTTTTTCCCTTTGCATCTCTCTGTCCCATCTGTCCCTCCAAGGACTTAACCATTCTTCCCCTCATTTTCCCAGCTGAGGGAACATTTTCACTGCAAAGCATCTAAGAGGATTTTCACTGTTTTCTTCCAGGGAGCTTCAGGTCAATTTAGTACGTTCACATTCTTCAGGTAAATCATGCAAACCCTTGGGTGCCCCCTAGGTCTTGTTTGATTAGATGAATAAAGCATTGTACAGTGTGAGTCATCCCATAACAGCCACAAACAGCTAGTGCATTCCAAGGACTAAGTGCTGAGGCAGAGGAAGGGAAGCAGAAAGGAGCAGACGAGACTGCCTTTCAGCTGAACTGCAGAAAAAAGAATGGGCCAGGTGGATGGATGGGGTTGGGCAGGGCATGTGTCCCATCCTGTTGAGAGTGGTGCATTCAGGGAAGGAAATGAAGGATGAACTTGGGGAATGAGTTGGGATGGAAAAGTCTGTCAAGGATCAGTGCCCTTCAAATGGGAAGAGCTTGTGCTAAGGAGTCTGGATACTATTTTAAAGGTGTTTGGGAGGCTGGGTGTTCACTGGAGCATTCCAGGAAGGGGAACCGAGATGACAAAACTGGGGCTTATTTTTGTCTGGAAGTGGGGCTCTGAGAAGCAAGACAAGCAGGAGGGATGACAGTCCAATTATCTGAGTCAAGAGGGGAAAGGCGACAGGAGACAGGACTGAAATGGGGAAAGACCTGAGGTATGGAGGTGGCTGGCAGGTGGAAAGAGGTTTGGTTTTTCTGGAGAAAATATCAGTTCTGTTTTGTAGGTGTTGGGAAACCACTAAGTCCTGAGAGATGTCGGATGCTCTTGGCTTTGAGGATCAATGTCTTAGCCAAAGGATACAGCGGCATTTCCCTGGAGACCCTCAAACAAGTTATCGAAGTGTTTAATGGTAATTCAGTGGATCCCCAGGCTGACCCTCCATTGAGGCTGGGCATGAACCACAAGGTAGACTTGATTGATGGGCTGCTGAGGAATCGGCTGAGATAAGAAGAGAAAATAATTGAGATGAGTGAAGAATGGGCTTGTAAGAAGGAGGCTAGCTAGACAGGGGGTGCAGATGCTACTCCTGTGGATTTTAACCCATTCTACATCACCCTTCATGTAGCATTTGGCATCTTTAAGACTAGAACAAGCCCCTTAAGTCCGCCCTTAAGGTCAGGCCCTCCTGAAGAACCTTGGATTCAGTGGTGCCTGAACACAGTTAGAGAAGTTGCATCAAGTTATCTGGGGAAGGTAGTGATTCCTGGATGTTCATTCCAAAGACCAAGTCAGTAGTTCCAGCTGGTGCCTGGGAATCTGAAATCTTAGTGCTCCCCAAGTGATGGAGAGGTCCAGAGGCATAAGGAGCTCAGATGTCAAAGAACGTAGAGCTGGGCTTAGGGGTGGAGGTGGGAGTCCGATCTGACACTCTCATTTAAGCCCCTGGGCAGAGTGGTATGCCCTTGAGTATATACACCACGTTTTCTCATCCAGTCGTCTGTCAGTGGACATTTAGGTTGATTCCAGCTCTTGGCCATTGTAAATAGAGCTACAATAAACGTGGGAGTGCAGGTGTCCCTTCGACCTGGTGATTTCCATTCCTTTGGGTATATACCCAGCAATGGGACTGCTGGGTCGTATGGCAGTTCTATCTGTAGTTGTTTGAGGAACTTCCATACTGTTTTCCATAATGGCTGGACTAATTTACAGTCCCACCAACAGTGTAGGAGGGTTCCCCTTCCTCCACACCCTTGCCAGCATTTGTTATCCTCTGTCTTTTTGATAATACATAAATATATATATAATCAATTTTTTAAAGATTTCAAACGCTCAGCCAGTGAGCGGGAACCGGTCTCCACATGGGATCCGAACCCTCTGCGGGAGCACCGCCACGCTCCCAAGCGGCGCACTCTCCAGTGCGCCACCGGGCCGGCCCAGAATAAGCAGTCTTGCACACTGAAATCTGACTTCTTGTAGAGGTAGAACAGAAACACAAAGAGGTTAACGACTCACTTATAATCATCATTATAGCCATGTAGTGGCAGTATATGATGCACCTCAGCTCTTTGAGGCTTACTTCTTAGGAAAATTCCAATGTAGATACCAGCTCTGCAGTGCCTGGAAAGCTTTGTCCCTTCTCGCAGATAAGGCTAAGCCTTCTAGGTCAGTGGAGGCTCAGGGTCTCTGTGTGGGAAGGAATAGGGAGAGAATCAGGGTTGGGCAGTCACATGGAGGAAAACACATGCTCGAGTTCCCATGCTATGGACGCAAGTGACATAAATATGATAGGTCAGCCAGTGAGGAGCAATTTGAATGAAGAAGCTATAGTATGTAGAGCTGTGCTCAACAGACCGGTAGTGATACCAATTTCTACTCCTGCCCTGGTCGGCCCTTCTATAAGCCTAAAACCCCAGACAGTGCAGCCCAACCTAGGGCCCAGTTGAAGCACCTCCGGGTCCCGGATTCTCTGAGGATTCCTCAGGGTGAACTATGATCTGGCCTGTGGATGACAGTGCTTTATCCTTTGACATTATGTAACCATTGGAAAAAATATGGCTATCAGGAGTCTGATTTTACTTTAGAAAAATGAAGCCTCCTTTTTTTGGCAACTTTTTGGACATTTCTCACATAACAGTACATGTTCATTTATAAGTGGGGGGGACGGTGCAGACTGAGTGACTGGCAAAAAAGAAGAGACTAAGTTGCCTATGACTTTACCTCCGCAGAGAACCTCTTCAGCACTTTGGTGCACCATGTCCTTCTAGAACAATTTGTATTACTTTTTTAATATAAACATTTACATGTTTCCAAAGATTCTCCGATAACTTTTATTGGCTATATATCATTTGGTCACATGAATGTCCCTTAATTCCATATTTAGATAATCTCCAACTTTTTCTTCTTATAAATAAGGCTGTAATGAACAACAGCTAGTTCCTGATCATGTCTTTAAGATACATTGCTAGAATTTCTAGAAGTGGAATTATTGGGTCAGGTTAGAGCATGCACATTTTGAAGGCTTTGTTATGGGAGGCGCCTTCCTTCCTACTCCTCTCCTTTCATCCCTTCCTCCCTCCTAGAAGTGGAATTATTGGGTCAGGTTAGAGCATGCACATTTTGAAGGCTTTGTTATGGGAGGTGCCTTCCTTCCTACTCCTCTCCTTTCATCCCTTCCTCCCTCCTTCCTCTCTTCCTCCCACTGGGGGAAGGAGAGGGCCTCGCTGGCAAAGCAAGGATAGCCAGAATGCAGTACTCTCGAAGTAACTGGTGCCTACTTCTCTGCAGCCTCCTGCCTGCCCTATGTTCCAGAGAAAGGAACCGTTGCTGCCAGTGGAGACCTTGCCCCACTCTCTCATCTCGCTCTCGGGCTAATTGGAGAAGGGAAGATGTGGTCTCCAAAGAGTGGCTGGGCTGATGCAAAATATGTAAGACTTTTATAGCAACTTCTATCTGCAGTCATTTTTCTAGGCTGGACACCAGGTGTACTTGCATGCTTTAATCACTGAATCCTGCAGCAGCCCAGTGAGGGAGCTGCTACTGTCCTTATTTTATAGGTGAGACAAAAGCTTAGAAGTCAAACCAGGCAAGGCTATCAGCTTCTGTACTTGACCGTGAGCCTCCTGGATTTTGATCACCTTGGTGAAAAGGTACAGTTGCTAGTGTTAATCCCAAGAATTTATTCTGTACCTACAACACTTCCAGTGTCTGTTGAGGAGGTCACACACTGTCACTATTTTATTAGGAGCTGGTCTCACAGGTGCAGAACTGTGGATCATAGCACTTACTCTATGTCCTCTGGAAAGCAAGTCCACTTTATCCCCAAGCTCCTACCCTGGTGGCTAATCAGAAAGGCTTGTTTTTGATAAAGCTTTAGTGTTTTCTTCATTCACCTCTGAATTCCATCAGAGCAGCCCAGAGCATCATTTAAAGTACCATTTAAAATATCATCTCCAATCAATGTCTGGGAGGTCCTCTAATAAAGTGAATGGGGCAGAGGGCCAAGACGAGGAAAAGCTAACAGAATATACTACCTTTCATCACAGTGATCAGCCTGACCTTTCTAAACAGCAGATCCAAGCATGTTCTGGTTAAAATCTGTAATGCTTCCCATTGTCCTTACGATACAGTCTAAACATAAAGGGGCTTACAAGAGTCATGTTATACTCCTCATCCCTCCTCCTCATGGGTCTACATTACAGAAGCTGGTGGCTGCTTGCAGCCGGAATGTGCTGGCTCCTAGGCAGAGGGCCCAGCACAAGTCCATGCTCCTCCCCACCTGGCTCGCTCCTGTTTCTCCTTCTGAAAAGTCCTCTAGGAAGCTTTCCTCTCTGCTCTTTGGTTCTTTTCCCTGCACCCCAAGTCCCTCATGCCTCTCCTTTGTCCATCTTATGTGCTTATCTTCACCACACTCTACCCACTTCCTGCATCCTTAAGTTCTCAACACACTGTTCCTCTAATTGCCCCTGACCTTGTCTGTCTCATTTTTCCTACCCCTGCCTCAGCCCAACCCCCAAAACAGAATCTGGCATGTACTAGGTCTTTCCTAAACTACCTGTGAAATTGCTACAGCAGATAGTGCTGGCTCTGTCTTGTTCTTATTTAACTCCACATTCCTTCTTCCTTAGAGGGGCCTGAACTGAGTGACTCTTTTTACTTCTTTTATTTCAGGGGAAAATTATTCTGCCCATTTCCCCTCAGGATTCTGTTTCCATCTGCTACAAGGGATTCCATAATCCCCTCCTCACTGGGGCTCAGGCATTTGCCACAGAAGCCCCACTCCATGGTTTTGTAGAAATGAGGGTGGAGGACTGTTTAGGCTGAGCTCTGGAGGCAGGGCCCAGCCACGTGTGTGTGTGTGTGTGTGTGTGTGTGTGTGTGTGTGTGTGTGTGTGTGTGTGTGTGTG